CACACACACACACAACACACACACACACACACTTGCACACACGAGCACAAACACGATCAAATAAAAATCCAAAAACATACAAATAAAAACAAACACACAAACAAACACACAAACCCTTCAGTCGTGTGTGAGTCGTGTGTGTGTCGTGTGTGTGTCGTGTGTGTGTCGTGTGTGAGTGTGTGTGTGTGTGTGTGTGTGTGTGTCGTGTGTGAGACGTGTGTGAGACGTGTGTGAGTCGTGTGTGACTCTGTGTCCAGGTGCGAGACGTGGCCCTCAACTGTTTGGTGGAGATTTATCGTCACGTCGGAGAAAAAGTTCGGATCGATTTGGGCAAAAAAGGTCTTCCTCAGTCCAGGTACGGACCAGGACCCGGGACCAGGCGGATCCTAACCGGTCTCACTCGGGTCTTTACTCTTCTTTTAGTCTCATTTACTCACGAATATTTCAAACCTGATTTCTGACGATTCTGATCCCACAATTTTCAGATTTTTTTAGGATCTTTTTAGACGTGTGAGAAATGAGGATCTAGTTTCGATTTAGATTTTTTCTCGTTTTTTTTTTTTTTTTTCAGGTTGAACGTGATCTTCAGTCGGTTTGACGAGGTGCAGAGATCTGGAAACATGATCCTGTCTCCACTCTCAGGTAAAACTGGGGCAGACTGGATTAGACCTGGTTCAGACCTGGTTCAGACCTGATTTAGACCTGGTTTAGACCTAGTTTAGACCTGGTTTAGTCCTGGTTTAATCCTGGTTTAGTCCTGGTTTAGACCTGGTTTAATCCTGGTTTAGTCCTGGATTAGACCTGGTTTAGACCTGGTTTAGTCCTGGATTAGACCTGGTTTAGACCTGGTTTAGACCTGGTTCAAACCTGGTTTAGACCTTGGTTCAGACCTGGTTTAGACCTGTTTTAGACCTGTTTTAGACCTGGTTTAGTCCTGGTTTAGACCTGGTTCAGACCTGGTTTAATCCTGGTTTAAGTCATGGAGGTTGTGGCTCTTGATCTCTCTGAGTGTGTGGTTTTATTGTGAAGGGCCTGGTTTAGCTCAGGGGAGTTTTATTGTGAAGGGCCTGGTTTAGCTCAGAGGAGTTTTATTGTGAAGGGTCTGTTTCCTTCCTGTGGTCATGTGTTTGTTTCTGTGGATTCGCTGACGTCTCCTCGAGGTAAAACTCGTCCTGAACAAAACTATTTGAAACAAAACAAAACAAAATGAGATGACAACAGGTCAGTTAGTAGTAGTTAGTAGTAGTTAGTAGTAGTAGTAGTTAGTAGTTAGTAGTTAGTAGTAGTAATTAGTAGCAGTAGTTAGTACTCAGTAGTTAGTAGTTAGTATTGGTAGTAGTTGTTGTAGTTAATAGTCAGTAGTTAGCAGTAGTTTATAGTAGTTAGTAGTTAGTCCTGTTCAGCCTGGTTCAGTAGTAGTAGTCCTGGTGTGTAGTCCTGGTTAGTCCTGGTCAGTCCTGGTTCCTGTTTAGTTTTCTGGTTTAGTCCTGGTTTAGTCCTGGTTAGTCCTGTTAGTTAGTCCTGGTTAGTCCTGGTTCTGGTTTAGTCCTGGTTGTCCTGGTTCAGTCCTTGTGGTCGGTGCTGTTGAATATTGAACAGTTGGACACAAACCGTCCCTCGTGTCTCCTCAAGACTTCATCAAAACTTTAAACCTGATGCCCTCCCGTCCTGTTTTTGTCTCTTTTAAACCTGATGCCCTCCCGTCCTGTTTTTGTCTCTTTTAAACCTGATGCCCTCCCGTCCTGTGTTTGTCTCTTTTAAACCTGATGCCCTCCCGTCCTGTTTTTGTCTCTTTTAAACCTGATGCCCTCCCGTCCTGTGTTTGTCTCTTTTAAACCTGATGCCCTCCCGTCCTGTGTTTGTCTCTTTTAAACCTGATGCCCTCCGCCGTCCTGTTTTGTCTCTTTTAAAACCTGATGCCCTCCCGTCCTGTTTTTGTCTCTTTTAACCTGATGCCTCCCGTCTGTTTTTGTCTCTTTTAAACCTGATGCCCTCCCCGTCCTGTGTTTGTCTCTTTTTTTTCCAGATAAGACGTTTGAGGATGAGGACTCGTGTTCGTCTCGGGGTCCGTCTCTGGGGAAGAAGAGTCTGAGTATGAGCTCCTTCAAACGCTCCACAAAAACAGGTCAGAGGCGTCGCTGTCTGGGGCCGCGGCGCTAACACGAGGCACTGCTCTGTCTGAAACACTCTCAGTCTAAAGCCAAAACCTCACGTTCACTTTCTTAAATGTTCAGGTTTGAGGTTTATTCACTTTTTGGATTGACCCAGAGCACTGGAGCTGTTCAGTGACAAAATAAATCCTCAGTAACACAACTTTGCCAAATAATTCTGCATCTCCAGCTGAAAGTATCTGAGTGCAGTGAGTAAAATAAGTGAGTAAAAAAGTGTGTAAGTGTGATATTTGTTTTTGTTCAGGGCGAGACGGGAGCGCCGCCGGAGCCGTGGACGAGGAAGACTTCATCCAGGCGTTTGAGGACGTCCCCACTGTGCAGGTCTGAGA